TAACTATTATTTAAAAAAAAAATCAACTAAAAATAATAACTGGATCAAAAGTTATTTAAGTTGTCAGTGAGTGGTGGGCCATCCTGTATAGTTATTTTCATTTTTAGACACACATAATATTGGCGGCATACTTTGCTTAGCCGTTAATGCATTGTGCTTCGGTTTATAGGGACCTGGTTCGATTTGGTTGCGTTGGACTATGTTTTCCAGTCCTCCGTGGCACAAGCAATAGCTTTTAGAGACATGATTAATGAATTATTAATAAGGAATTAATGATAATGAATAACAATAAACTAAATTTAACACATTCTGTATAAATCCTCAGTTGAATATATTTTAATTTATTACCAGTGTCGGGGCAGTGTCTATAGGGCCTAATAAAAAGTATACGTTTTATGAGATCCTGCACGTAACAGTGACGTAGTTAGGAAATTGTTATGAGGAAATATAAGAAAATTTTTCTTTTCCTTTCGAAATTATTTTTACTGAGGGATCTGTCTCCCTCATCCCCTCCTCCAAGGACACATGGATTCCACAAATATGATTTACCCCGTATCCCAAAATATCTAGCGGCGGCACTGTTAATTACACTTACCTTAAAAGCACTATAATAAGTTCTTCAACACAAACGATTGCATTGAACTGCCTTAAGTTAAATAATTTAATAGAGAGGTCAAAACAATAGGAATATTTTAAGAAGGGCCGCCCCTTGTGAACATTTTCTGGTATCATTTTTTCTATTGAATATATAAATGTTGTTTTTGCATTTACAATAACTTTGAAACTTTTACAAAGATTTATATTTCTATTCAAGTGAAAATTTGTAACTTTTCAATTTATCACTTTATTTTCATAAGTTACACTGTACACAGCAAAATGATATATTTCATAGACTCGAAATATTATTCAGCAAGAAGAATAGTAGTAATAAAATATGCTCAATGGCAGTATTATAATAAAAACATAAAAAATAATTACAATGGTAACGCCTTTAGATTCAAGTTCAATAGTATAAATTATTGTTATTTAGTTATTTCTTTTAAGATTGTTCCTGCCGAAACAACGATAGAGAAAATGGAAAAATTATTTACATTCCATAAAAGTCAAACGAACGTTATCTCAAAAATGTCAACGCGCGTGATTTGTGATTTCAAAAAAACCGCTCCGTGATTTCTCGTATCTTTTTATATGTTTTATTGCCACCCCACGCCTTTAACTCAGCTTCCCTTTTCCTGTCGCCGACATTTTACCTACCGACATTTCCAAGAAAATAATGATTTATTAATAATTGTTTTCTGTACGATTTCTCCCCTTTCAAATTTCACGTACGCCGCTCATACTTACCCTCTTACATCACCCCCGATCGAAGTTTCTCATATATGTTATTATGGGTATTCGTTTTGATCCTGTATGTGTTTTTTCATTAAATTCAGTTATGCGTTTGTGTGCAGGGAAATAAATCGGTAGAAATCTGATTTCAATCATAATTGGCTACAGTTAGTGTAGTGCAAAGTATATAAATCAAAGAATACGTTTATGATTTGTAAATTTATCGTGATCATTAGGCTGAATTAAACAAATATCGGAATTCCATAAATACATCTACAATAATATTACTTTTAAAAAAATTACTATATTTGTGTCCTTTTGAAAATGTGAATAGACTTGACAATGAAAAGATTCGACTCGTTAACATTTTAGTGTTTGTAGGCCTCATATTTATGATTCTATAATTCGACCAAAAATTATAAGATATTTGCATCTTAAATAATATAAAAAATACTACAAACAGTGTCGTTATAGATATTTTTGATCATAATAAATTATAAATTAAAAGCTTATCCTAGTTAATGTTCCTAAACGAATCCAATCAAACGATTTACAGATATGTTACTCGCAAAATTTGCCCTTTACGATCTAAACAGACTTTATAGCAAAACTCGAATGATTGACGTCTAGTGCTAACGCACACATTTGAGTGATGTGTTTGATGCCACTGAGAACTAGCACATCAATATTCATCAATCTTTGATACGTCATAAAGTTAACGTGGCTACTCCACAATATACTCGTATGACTCTAATGGTCTGGACAGACATTGATGGAATAGTTTCACTAAAATACACATCATCAATTGTTCCGCGGATTGCGGTCTATATTTCGGTCAAGTGCGCTAAAATCCGTACTCGATTTCCATGTACAAGTAATAGAAATTTAAATCGTCCGCATCAAAACCATATTAATTACCATACCTTTTTAATGACGTAAATTTCAAAAAGTACTAACGTATTTCACTCGACCAGTATTCGGTAGGGGAATGTATCTACGACCCAGTAACATTGGCATTGAACGCATCTCCCGTTTCACAGGCGATCCCGCAGGATGATGGAAAACAGATTTTTTTTTTGCAAACAAGAGAGAACTGCATTTCGGGCGACGCTTGACCTTTAAACAATTTTATATTACTCGCCGGGAAAACAGCGTTCACTGTGTGTAGCGATTCGACCGACTTCGCAGTGTGTGTGTGTAATTATAAAGCAATTGTTGTCGTCTGCGTGT